TGGAGAAACAGCAATTCAGATTCCTTGCCTATTTTTGATTGGCTTATTGATAGATTTTAGTTTTTGCATTTTTAAAAAATTCTTGATAATATCTAATTTTACCTCCTCAGTGCTTTAGGGGAGATATTTTATTATCGTGTATTCTTTAGAGACTTTGATAGTCCAAGAAAATACCTGGAACCTCCAGGATGTTGGTTCTGAACACCTGTAAAACTTTTTTAAAATATAGAAATGTCTAGGCCCTAATAATGATTCAATTATTGTGATAGAGTCAAGACATTGGTGTCCTATCAAAGCCTTCCTAATGTGCATCCATGGAGGATAGCCAAGCAAGATATGGATTATCAGTGCCTTAATGTTCAAGATGGTGTGAAGTATGTCTGAGATAAAAATTGGTGCTTAAGACTTCCAAAAAATGAGTTCATTAAGGATCAGGAAATCTTTTTTGGCTGTAAAAGAACTCTAGAAGTAGGTGGATTTTCTAGCAACAAGATTGTGGGAAGGGGGATCCTTAGAAATATAATCAGGTAAGATTTCTCCCAAGCATGCACCTATAGGTCATAAACCTAAAGAACTGGACCAAGTATGGATATCTGCACCCCCATTCAGGAACAAGATACATTCCATTACTACCTAATTGCTTAAGCTAAAGAGGCATGGAAATGTATGGCTTTTGGATGGCCTTTAGGATTGTTCGTTTACAGTTGTTATACTAGTACCCTGATTGGTCCACCGACTGCATAATGCAAGTATAGACTCAGAGGCCTGACATCCCATTGCTTAAACAAAACATCTATTCAAGACAACTATGGAATATGTGATTGTTAGGAGAATTTAATGGAGAATCAGCATAGAAGGTTTTGGTATCAACTCTCTTGTATGTTTAAATATATTTGATTTCAGAATTTTGGTGCTTTTTTATTCTTAAATGATTAATTTATAAATGGGAAACCTGATTGCCTTTCATGTTCTTTGTTAAAAATTTTGAATTAAAAATATTATTTAAATCAATTTTGTGGGGTAATATATTATTTAAATAGTTGAGATTAAATATAATAAACTACATTTATTTCATAACAGTAAATAATATAGCAGATCTTATGATTTAATGTGTTGTAATATAATTTAGTAGATATATTGCAGTAAATAATATTATTATTCTGGTATATAGAAGTTTCATATATTTTCTAGATTTCCTTTTTCTTTGATGGTTTTGCATTTAAAGACCAGACTAAGCAAAAACTTGCTTAACATATGAAATCTGATGAGATTACAGGTTTTAACTCTAGGATAATGAGCTTATTTTATTTATTAAGGCCCTCAGGACTAAAAGAACAGTCAAAAGAATCAGTCCTAGGCCTTCATGATATCATGGAAAAATACTGTTATTAAAATAAGAGGTGAAATACTATTTTTACAAAAGTAATTAAATATTTAAAACAAATTTTATGTGTATCTCTAATTTTTATAAATATAGTGAAACTACTTTTAAAACAATGTTCAGTTAGAAAAGCAAAAACATCAAAAGACACAGTTACAATGCTATATTTCTTAAGGTAACTAACTTTATCCATAGAGCACATACTATATCAAAGGACACATGCTATATCAATTAAAGTTTGCTTTGAGTTTACGTGCTATTGAACAAATTGAGAAATAAAGCAGAGGAAAAATGTGTAAAACTGCTGTTGCACAACTCCTAGAATGTTATTGTTGTATATTTCATAATTATGTATGAAGGGAATTTATCTCTAAGGTTTCAGAAGGCATTTACCTCTGAAGACTTTACTAGTAGTTTCCAGAAAACCAGCTGCATTTAGAGAGAGGAGAAATTGCCTCGATTTTCACGTAGCTTTTCTGGGAGTAGTTGGTGAGCTCATCTAACTTTCCTGTATGTATGTGTCTCTCAGATATGCCACTTTACCCTGCTTTATCTCACTGAGTATTTCACTGTAGGTATTTTGTGTAGATATCTTATCACAATTTCTAATTTTAAGAGCATCTGTTACTGCTTTCCCAATCTTTTTCCACCCAGTGGATCACTGTTATCCTAAGAGGTACCGCTTTTGTTTTTGCATGTTCTTGGCTTTACTGTCAACACCATTGCTCCAACGCTTTTGTACTTACTTTTAATCACTCTAAATTGGTAGTTTCCTTTGAGATCAAATGAAAACTGGCTTGCTTCAACTTATTATTTTCAATAGTAACTGAACTGAGGCAAAATATTACTTCAAAGAAAAAATGTTAATACTTTTATGATCACAGTTTTCCGGTATTGCCTTTATCTATTTAATGATAGTCATACATATATTCCATAATTGTGCAGGTATCATCAGTGTCAAAATTCATAGTAAAATTGAGAATATCAGTTTAATATCTCTTCTTAAGGTATGTTAGGATATTATTTCATAGCTTTCTAAGTTAAAGTAATAGCTTTCAATTAGTAAAAATATATAATAACAATAATAAGGATCCATTGAAAATTAATTTTTAGGGTAGCTAAAGCCCATGAGTCCCATTACATAAGTGTCAAACTTTGGCTCATTTAACAGTAAATGATGATGGTAGAATAGCATAAGGCTGAGTGACAGTAGTCCTGTGTTTTAAATCTAGTTTTATTCTAGACAAACAGAATTATTTGAAGAACTCAGGTTACTTTTGCTTTAAATCTGTTTTCCCATCTGCTAAAAGGGTAACAAAATTCAATGTAATTGGAAAGTTAAGTGATAAGAGTTTGAAATTTCTCTGCATTAGGTATCATATAGATTCTTGAAATCATGTAAGTTGAGCAAGGATTGCACCTCATTTGTGGGAAAAAGGGAATCGGCCTTTATTTAGAGGCTTTTATTTGCAACAGGAGAATAAGAATTCTGAGTAATTCCACTAATAGACATCATTTTGGAAATGTTAAATCATGTTGCCATTGTCCCCCATAGTCTCCTTGCCCTGTAAAACAGTAAACATACACACGATGTCAACAAAAACTTGTCAGCACACACCTCTTCTTGGTCTGTATGTCTACTTTGGTTGTTTGTTTTACTTCTCTAGGCCTTGATGTCTCAGACAGAGAGTTGTGAGTAAAGTGTTGCCTTCTATATTGGCATGTTGTCTCTGATCTTTGAATTGCAAATAATACATAAAGCAAGATACAGTGAATATTTTAAAAAAGAAGAATTTCCATCCCAGAAGTCTAAGCTAAACGCTTTATCCTTTCTGTTAACCATATTTTTTAATGTGACAAGATCATATCTTTAGGAACATTTTAAGGTTTTATATTTTTGTTATAATATTTAGTAATCAATATCATTATTCTCTGTGTGCCTTATATTTGTAATAATTGCTATTGAAAGCAAGTGAAGATGCATTATGCTTCTTTGCCTAATGTTTTTTGTAACTGCTTTCCTCTTGTATTAATTGAGAAGACAACTAAAGACAACATAGTCAACTGGCTTCTGAGGGCAATAGTGGGTCATAAATTTACAATGAGATGGTTTTAGCCCTGTATAAATCTATCTATCTATCTGTCTATCTATCTATCTATCTATCTATCTATCTATCTATCTATCTATCTATCTTTCTTTCTTTCTTCTATCTATTGATCAATGGATCTATATTCACAACATATCTTTAAATTGAGTCTTTAAATTATATAAAATACCTGTCTTGTTAATGTAAATCTACTTTCTTAATGCCCCCTGAATTATTTTGAGCTCCCAAATATATCGAAATTGTGCAATAAAATTCATCCTTTGAACAGAAGTTAAGGGATGACTCATCCGTTTTCTGGAAACTATGACATCTCAGTACGTTAGGATTATTCCTGCTTTCCATGTCCCCCAGAGTGAAAAACGTAGTTAATTTTCTGCACAATACTCAAGTAGAGAATATTAAACGAACTTTCAGCCAATAAATTAAATGCTAAATTTTTATTTATGTTAAATTTTCCCTAACATTTGTTCACAGATATAATTTTCTTTTTGCTAAATATGAAGGTTACTAAAATTTAATAAATATGAAGGATAGATAGAATTTCTTCAGTATATATTAATAAAAATTATTGAAATAATGAAAAAATAACTTGCTAAATTTTCATTGAAGATAAATATAAATATATGAAATGTCCAGTGATATTAAATGGTACACTGTTACCGGATTTAATTACAGAATCTAAATGAATAAGAGCAACTTCATTAGGAGGTGGCAGAAATGCTCTCTGTCCATCTCTGTTCATTGCTGACAACAGTTGCTGTGTTAGTGTGATTGCACCTTAACCCTCTCTCAGCAGAGGACAAACAGGGCCATAATCTACTTGCCGTTGATGGCTTTCCCCTTGTTTCTGGTGGTGCAGCCATCTCCTATTTATAGGATTTCATTATTTTTAGTAACAAAGAAGTTCACTTAGTGGAAACCAACCTGCCTTATAACTTAAATTGGTTGAAATTATATCTTGGAGTTTCCTGAAAATTTGGGGAAATATAGTTCTATCATTTTTCAGGTGAAAAATTTTACATAGTTATTATTTCTAGTCTGGTAATTAAAGTTACATTAATATTTTTCAACATGAACTAAATCAACATGTCAAAAGTTAGTTTAAAGCTATATTATATTAAGAAAACATAACTTGGAGTGTTCTAATGCAGACCAACAAACAAGTTAATTATGTTGAAATCAAAGTTAAATTTGAATTATATATCAGAATTAAATGTTCTAAGGTTTTGTCTAAATAAATTATGCCTGTATTCAGTTTTCTGCTGTAGACTTTGGCCTGATGCCAACTGCAGGTGCAAGTTTGCTGTATCATTTTGTTTCTATTATTTTGTTTTATAATGAACTATCATAACATTTGGCTACTGAAATACCCTAAAATGAATATTTTATCATAAAGAGCTTGTTTTTCATACATCAAATTTAATATTTGATTCCTTGCTAAGTAATACAATTTTTCTTTAAAGATCGATTTGCTCTCATGTCTCAATTTTTGCTTTCTTTTGCATACCCAGCCTGTGGCCGTGGGTTCTACAAGTCTTCCTCTCAAGATCTTCAGTGCTCTCGTTGTCCAACTCACAGTTTTTCTGATAAAGAAGGCTCCTCCAGATGTGAATGTGAAGATGGGTATTACAGGGCTCCATCTGACCCACCGTACGTTGCATGCACAAGTGAGTTGTACTATGAAAGTAAAGAAGGACTTTCCAATTCCTTCCACTCATTTGTACTGTTGTGACATCAATGAAACAGATACTGAATTTGTGATATGTTCTTAATTATACTTAAATATTAAAATTATTTTAAAATATTAAGATAAGAAAATATTTTTTTCATAAGCAGATAGGTTTAGTAATATAAATATATCTTACATCAACTTTGGTGTTATTTCCATGTCTGCAAAATTAAGATGCATTTTAATAACGTTTTTCACATGTATCTCGTAAGAATCATAAGTAAAATTAAAAGTTATTAGGGTCGACCAGGCACAGTGGCTCATGCCTGTAATCCCAGCACTTTGGGAGGCCAAGGCGGGTGGATCACAATCACCTGAGGTCAGGAGTTCGAGACCAGCCTGGCCAACATAGTGAAACCCTGTCTCTACCAAAAATGCAAAAATTAGCTGGGTATAGTGGCTCCCACCTGTAATCCCAGCTACTCAGAAGGCTGAAGCAGGAGAATCACTTGAACCTGGGAGGCGGAGGTTGCAGTGAGTTGAGATTGTGCCACTACACTCCAGCCTGGACAATAAGAATGAAACACTGTCTCAAAATAAATAAATAAATAAGTTACTAGGGTCTTGCATGAATATTAAATGTTATTAAAAAGTAATGGCTTCAGAATTAAAATTCCATTACTAAATACAGCAGATCTCACTAAATAGAGCAAGCTTCACATCTTGATTCTTCAATTAGTGAATGTTTGAGAGACCCAAATCCAAAGCCAATCTCAGACATTGCTATAAATCATCCTTGAGTACATTAAAATGAATAAATGTATTCCCCGTTATATGGTTAAAAGGAGAACTATTTTTAAACTACACAGCTGTTTTTTTTAGGTGTATTAACTGTACTGTTTTAATTGCTTGGAAGAAAAATAGCTAAAGACTGTGGCAAAAGTACAAAGACAGTTGTTATCCTGTTTTCATTTTGACGTATTAAAAGGAAAATAAATAAAGCCTCTTGCCAAGTGAATTCAAGGAGGCTTTTATACAGCTTCTCTAGTAAAGGTAATGAAATGTTTATGTGAAAGAAAGCATTTCAACTCGTTTTCTCTTCAGTAATTGAGCCACTAAGCTTAATGCCCCACACGGATCCTTTTGTTCTTTTTGTTTGCATGTTTTTTTTTTTTTTCTGTTTTTGCTTATTTATTTATTCTTGGTTTCTCAAGGGCCTCCATCTGCACCACAGAACCTCATTTTCAACATCAACCAAACCACAGTAAGTTTGGAATGGAGTCCTCCTGCAGACAATGGAGGAAGAAACGATGTGACCTACAGAATATTGTGTAAGCGGTGCAGTTGGGAGCAAGGCGAATGTGTTCCCTGTGGGAGTAACATTGGATACATGCCCCAGCAGACTGGATTAGAGGATAACTATGTCACTGTCATGGACCTGCTAGCCCACGCTAATTATACTTTTGAAGTTGAAGCTGTAAATGGAGTTTCTGACTTAAGCCGATCCCAGAGGCTCTTTGCGGCTGTCAGTATCACCACTGGTCAAGCAGGTATGTTTTGTGCTTATCTTCACTGAATAGAATAATGTGACTACCTAAATGAGGTGTCTTGCTTGAATATTTAGTTAGTTTCTCTACACAGAGCTTGATTCTTCCAGCTTATTGATTATTTACAGCTTTAACTTTTCCTGTTGCTTGTTATACCATTAGTGTACTCATTAACATCTTCAGAGGTCTGGCAGGAGAAATCAAAGGAGATAAAATTGGCCGGGCACAGTGCCTCACACCTGTACTCCCAGCATTTGGGGAGGCCGAGGCGGGCAGATCACGAGGTCAGCAGTTCAAGACCGGCCTGGGCAACAAGAAACCCCATCTCCGCTGAAAATATAAAAAATTAGCCAGGCATGGTGGCACACGCCTGTAGTCCCAGCTACTTGAGAGGCTAAGGCAGTAGAATCACTTGAACCTGGGAAGCAGAAGTTGCAGTGAGCCGAGATCACACCACTGCACTCCAGCCTGGGTGACAGAGCAAGACTCTTTCTCCGAAAAAAAAAAAAAAAAGACTGCTATAAAACAAATAACTTCACTGAAAGAACTAGAGGAGGGGAGTGAAAATATTGGTCAAAATGAAGTAAAGGATATATTCACACTTTTACCTTTTTGTTTGGTACGCTCATGGTAACAAACTACATGATAATTAGGAATAATGAAAGAGTTGGCTTCATTGTCTCACATAATCTTACCCAATTTTTTACTATGTAGACTATGATCTTTGTAATATATGACAAGTCTGCATTTTAATATGCATGAGGGAATTTTAAGTTCATCAGTAGATTTGTGATCATATTAATTTCCATTTTTATATTAGAATAAATGGCAGATTTCATGAGTATTTCAGAAGAAATGGCATAACCATGATAATTGTGAATTTGTAGCTTAGCCTAAAAGCAGTCTTCACTTATTTTCTTCCTGGCACTTGAAATGCCCTCCTTAAGTTATTCCTTGTTGTGGTTAAGTATGTTTTGGAAAATACAAATTGGAGACGTTCCAAACCTTCAGAAAAATCTTACTGCTGAAGGAAATCTCAGAAATTAGGGGCTTTCTCAGTCTTTTGAAAAATTCTTATTGCTGAAGATAGATGCTATGTAGTAAATGCAACAAAGTGCTATGTTATCAGTAATATTAAAATCGGGCCTTCACTAGAGTAGTGTGTTGTGTGAACAATGTAATAAGCTAATAACAAGGTCCTCTTGGTCTTTGGCTGGCTGTCTAAAAGCAACCAGTATTATCCCAAATTCCTGGGATAATAATCTATTATTCATTTTAGTCTATATTCACAGACTATTCTTCATTTCCATGCCAATTTTAACCAACTGTTACCTATTTAAATTATATCTACATAATGAAAACTATGTATATGATATCAGGCTTACCATTTTGAACAGATTAGTGGGTTTTTATTCTAAAAGTTTCATTCTGATGCTTATTTCAAAGGCTGTTTCAATCAGATCTGCTATTTAAGGGCAGATATCGGAGGGTAAAACATAGAAATGTAAATATTTGATAATTAGACAAAAAGTAACTGATTTAGCTAATTACCTGGACTTCCCTATTTTATTTTGGACTTACCTCTTTTATTAGCAATGTTTATACTATTTTTTTTAAAATGCTGTTTTCATTAGATAGTTTCACTTGTGTTGTTTTATATATAAATTTGTCTCTTAACTTTGCAGTGAGTGGATTTGAAATGTTTTAGGTTTATGATTTTTGACATAGGAGCTATCTTTTGGAAGCATTAATAGAAACTTAGTTCTACTAAGTTAGAATGACATTCTTTTATTCCTGCTAATATCAAGAAGTGACATTTTTATTTCTGAATATAACCAGGAGATTCTGAATTGATACCAGAAATAGTGTTTGCCAAATTGGCCACTTTGGGGATGTCTTTTCATGTTCCTAAAATGTCTATTGTTTGATTTCTCAAGTTAATACTATACAGGCTAAATATATTATCAAATTTCTGTAAATTTCTGGAATCAAATATTTCGCGATGTTGTGTAAAATGGCTTTGGATGTTGATTCCCTTCTGGTTAAGAACAAACTAGGTTGGCTGGAGGGTTTTTTTTGTTTTGTTTTGTTTTGTTTTGCTTTATTTGTGGATGAGGTTGATTTAAATGTACAATAAATATATTGATATATTGTGATGGTTATACAACCCTGTAAATGTACTAAAATACTTAATCATATATTAAAATGAGTACATTTTATGGTATTTAAATTATACCTCAATAAAAAGAAAAATGATAAAAACAATACCTATAAGTTTATTAAATAACATAAACATAAATAAAGGTTAAAAACCTAGGTTTGCACTTTTATATTAAAATACTAATTCATGATTGCCTAGTCTGACTACATCTCAAATACTAAAACTCATGAATTTACAGTTAGCTTTTTCTAACAGAGGAAATTTGGAATGTGTTGGTGATTATTGTTCTTTTGCATGAGTATACTCAGTTCCCTCCATTGCCATATTTTTGTTCTTCCTAAAGGGGCATGATTTGAAACTTGGTCCGAGTTCAAAACTATCCAAGGAACCCTGTAAAACCCTTGAAATTATCATTCTCCATTAAACAAATAGCATCCTTTCCAACCTAGTTTATGCTGAAATCACTTCAACAGTGAATTTAAGTCTGTATTTCTGGTTGGTTATCTTTCTCCTCAGCAATCCACTGATGCCTAGCATAAAAGAGTTTATTAAGGGAATTTCATGTTTCTGGGAAAGCTTAGAGAGTCAGAATAACAAATAATCAGCCAGTGCTTGAAAGATAGTGTGTGTACTTCGTAATTCCTTTTCTGTTAAGTTTTGAGTTTGGAGCACAAACTCAAGTTTTGAGTTTGGAGCACCCTATACCAGTGTTTGTGTGAGTAGAAGTGTATTGAACATCTTTTGCTCACGGAAAGAATAGGCCCATTGATATTAAGGGCCCTGAGTTCTAGTTTCTAGTCTGCCACTAGGAGGTATATACATTTTGGGTTGATCGCTAAAGCTCCGCATGAAAAAGAAAAAATCGGGATAAAATAATATCTACCTTCCTGTATTATCGTGTTAAGTGAGATGATACTAAAGAAAACTAAGCTCATACATTGCCATAAAAATGCTAATGCAGTGAATAGCAAAATGAATGCCAATTAGTCCTCTTTTTATGTGACTCTCTGGGAACCTGTCAAGGCAAAATGCACCAATTTCTTTATCTGTAGAAACATGAGGGAAAATAATATGAGTGCAGAATTGGCAGCTAACGTATTATAACGTTGGAAGAAGGAGAAATTAACTTTGTTTGGCCTGTAAAAAATATGACTATTACCTAGTTATCAATTATCTTATGACTGAGGTTCTTGTGTAAACCAATGATTTTACCTTTAAGATAGACTTGTATTGAAAAAGCATGATATTTTAATGTTCATATTTATATAAGTTTTATACTTATCATGAACATGCCATACACAAACTGGCTGAACCATACATTTTTGTTCTTGTCGTTTTGTTAGTATTTATATTGACCTATTAAGGCTGAAGTCACAAAGATCAAGTTACATACAATGGAGACATTTTTTAAAATATAGAAGTAGGGGAAAAATATATGTATTTAATTTACAACATTATGACCCTTATTCTTCCTTATATTTCAATGTTCTCTTTAAAAAATGCCTTTTTTAACCTTTTATATTAAGTTCAGCGGTACAAGTCCAGGTTTCTTACATAGGTAAACTTGTGTTACAAGAATTTGCTGTATAGATTATTTCATCACCCAGGTGTTAAGCTTACTGCCCATTCATTATTTTTCCTAATCCTCTCCCTCCAGCCACCTTCCACCCCCCAGTAGGCCCCAGTGTGTGTTGTTCCTTTCTGTGTGTCCCTGTTTTCTCATCATTTAGCTCCCACTTATAAGCGAGAACATGTGGTATTTGCTTTTCTCTTCCCGTGTTAGTTTGCTAAGGATAATGGCCACCCACTCCATCCATGTCACTGCTAAGGACATGATCTTGTTCTTTTTTGTGGCTGCATAGTATTCCATAGTTTTCCATTCTTAAGCACTATTTAAGTGCTGCTTTTTGATATTAGTTTGGCCAACTAGACTAAGTACCTAGTGCATGTCAAGCACTATGGGGGATGCTAAGAATAAGAAGGTAAGGAATGGTTCTCTTCTTAAATATCTAACAATATAACACTTTATTATAATTTTGTAGAACAACATTGGGAACAAAATACAAAAACTCTGAAGAAAGAATGATTCATTCAGAGAACAAACAAAAGCCCTTACATAAATGAGTCAGTCAATCTAGAGTTTCAGAATGGATGTGCTTTTGCCAGATATAAAAGTAAGAGTATAAAAGTAAATCCTATTCTAGGCCCAGAAGAATACTACCGCTTTTCTCTAATCAGAACATGGTAATTGCCACTATCTTCCTTCCTGAAACTAAGTTATGGTAGCACAGAAATAGTATGCAGAAGTATGAAAGTTAATAAAAACAGATCACTCAAAAAATGCTGTTTCTTTCTTTAATACTTCATTCACTCTGGGATTATTTAAGCAATTATAATATGTGGTCTCTCCTCAAAGGGACATAGATGACTTAGCAATTATCCTTCAAGTCAGTAACTGTGTCATGTTTATCTGTGTCACCACCATCAAATACAGTCTCTTCTGCATACTAGCTGTACAAAAAGTGTTGTGGAATTAAGGCCAATGCGAAAACTAGAAAAATTAAATCATTATACAAGAGTGAAACCATTAAGGCATTAATAGAAAAGACATATTATTTGATATTAGATGACATAATTACAAGATTTTAGACAAGTTACTTCACCTCTTTATACTAGAATTTTCTCCACGGGTGGTACACTATCTGACTCGACATATTGTAAAAATTGAGCTAATAGCTTAATTCCAGGTACGTTTATTACAATAAAAAGGTGTATTACCATACTGAAACAATTATAATAATAAGAGCAATAATTTAAAAATTACTATTTATTGAATACTTAC